TGGCCACGATCAGACGACAGACCTGACTCGTTGGCGCTTCGAACCTCGCTGCGCACATTGGCAATGAGCAGCTCGTGTCACATTGCCGTTATGGTCTACAGACGCGAACGCTAGACTAATCTTGCAAGTGGTCTACAAGAGGTGGATCAAGAAACGAAACACCCGGTTCAGGCGTCGGGGAGAGGAATGCCCCGTGCGAGCCGGGGGGGTACGGCAGTCGTATGCGTCGGCGGCGTCATTCGGTGCAATCGCCACGTCTTGATGTCGAATAGATACAGCACGCCCTGATAGCGCACACTGAGGAGACCGTTGAGGACAGCCGAAGCGCGGTCCATGTAATAGACGCCTTCGTGCATCCATGGACCGTGCTCAAAGAGGTACCGGGCACCGCCACTGAGTAGCAGCGACGGTCGCGCGTAGACTGTGGCCGGTCGCCGGCAGCCGAGTTTGACGAGCCAATAACACGCGCCGTTGCAGACAAAGACGGTCCCGATGAGCAAGAGGAGGCGTCGCCAGTCGCCGACGGCCACTTGGCCACTGGTACAGACCACTTGCCAGTCGAGCGACTCGATTTGACAGTCGCGGGCGACCGCAACGGTGGGTTCAATCGGAAGTAGAATCGTGATGCACGCAGACAGCAGCAAGACGAGCAGTGAGTTGTAGATCGTGTAGAGCATCGTGAGCTCTTGGGTAAAGACGATCGAAATGTCGTTGACAATACCGACAAGCCACGTGACTTCGTTGGCCGCGATCCCCGCCGAGTACCACGGCGCATTCTGGCTCAAGAACGCGCTGTTGTGTCCGTCGTAGTCGAGCTCGAGGCGCGACGTCGAGAGGAGGCAGAGTGCCGTGATGCTTCGAAGCGCAATAAACGGCCGACCGACCCACACAATACCGCCGACGCGCGAGAGCTCGAGCAAGTTGAGCCCCTCGACGTGCCCCCGGCTCACGACCGCGTACAGCGCCGTCGTCGCCGCAAGTGCAATCATGACGTACGTGACATATTGCACCGACCGGTGCGAGTAGAGTGCAAACACCGTTGGGAGCTGGGAGGCGTCGGTGGCTTGCACGCGCGGCCGCAGTCCATCGCCGATGAGCGTGATCGCGCTGGTGTCGCCAACGAACCGAACGACTTCGCGGTTCCCGAGCACCCAGTCGTAGAGGAGCACGTTGGCAAAAAACGCAAAGTCGAGGGACTCGAGGAGCGGCATATGGTAGATGCGCATCGGCGCCGATGCTTTCGGTCGGCCCACTTGAAGCAGCTCGATCTGCAGCGGGCTCAGCGCCTGCGTTAGCCGCGGCGCCCACGCTGTCTGCAGCACCGAGAGGTTGGCATGTGAGAGAAACGCCAGCGTGTTGCGGAGCATTGGCTCGCATGCATATGCTTGCGTGCGCATCTGAAGACAGACGTGCGAAATGTTGGTGATCGTCGCATACGCAGCAGCAAAGAGAAGGTGGTCTTGGCTCGGAATCGACGCTATCGTACGACCCGTGTTGGCACTGCACGAGCTCTCAAACGAGAAGAGCGGCTGGAGCCCACCAGTGATGTTGAGCGGCGACGTGTCTGGCACACAGAGGACCGAACCGCCGAGTACATAAAACGTCGGCTTTAGCCAGGCAAAGGGCACCGGATTGAGGTAGAGAGGGTGGGGCAGAGCTGCGTACGCCGCGCCATACGTTAGTCGGAGGCTGTGCACGATGGCCATGGCGGCCCCCGCCGCGCGCCGGAGGTCGACGGGCACAGGAACATACTGCATGTCGATCGATCCGAACGGGCCAAGAAAGGACTGGATGGCCGAGAGACCGGCTGAGAGCGGGCTGGCCAGGAGTCCGGTCTGCAGATACACGCTTGTCAACGACGCATTGAGTGATAGTGGGGTGTCGAGAACAAGGCTCTTGCCCCCGAGGTCGGTGCCGTTGTCAAGAACGCCGTTGAGATCGTTGGCAAGCCCCCAGTACATTTTGTACGAGGTCTGCTGGATGAAGCGAGTCGCGCCCGCGGTAGCTTGTAGTGTGAAAGGGTACGCGGCGCCGTAGGCATTCGCGATCGTATAGGCGTTGATGAGACCGATCGTCTTGAAGTTTTGCCACTGAAGTTCGTAATATGTGATGCTATGGCGTCGCCAGTAGTCAATTTCGTCGTCAATCGCAGCCCACGGCTCGCCTAGACGGGTCAAGAAGACGAGGCCGGCGGCCGACGACACGAGTGAGGTCGTGATGCTGATCTCGAAGGCTTCGCCCCAGTAGTTGACCCAGTCGGACCAAATAACGTTGCGCAAAAACGACTCCATGTACACGGCACCATTTGCGGCGTACGTTGCACAGCGTGCCTGCCGCGCCGCCGTGTGCGCGACCCCAAACGTCCGGTTAAAGTCGACGTAGCAGTAGCCGGTAAAGACCCACGGTATCTCGATCGCTGGCAGCGACCGCAGCGCCGGAATCGCGACGGCCACGTCTGTCAGCGCCGCGTAGTGCAGCATGGCACCGTCGTGGTCCGCAAACGAGATCGTCGACGCTAATGATGTGTTGAACGCCGCCGCGACGTTGAGCTCACTGAGTGGTCGGGTGGTATTCTCCGCACCGAGTGCCAGGGCCTCTAAAAGCCAAGTCGCCAAGAACGGGTGGTCCCCCCGCAGGTCAAACCCGACCCAGATCAGGTCGTTGGTCAGCGTCGACTCGGTGAGCCGGAGGTAGCTCAGACTCCCCGCGATCGCTATACCAATGTACGTCATGCCACCGAGGCTATAGACCCACCCGAGCCACCGTGGCCGGGGTAGAATCGGTGACAAATCCGGGATCGTCGACGTACTCGGGCCGTCGAGCTTGGAGGGACTGCGCACGCGCTGTTTCTGGCCGCGAACAATCGTCCAGAGCTTGATATCAAAGGTATACTGCCGACGCTTGTACGTGAGCCGGAGCAGCCCCGAGAAGAGACCGGCGATCGCGTCGAACGGCGCGTCATTCTCGTCGGGGGTTGCGAGAAACGCAAAGCCGGCACCAGAGAGCATGAGGCCGTGCACGCCGCGCGACGACCGTCGCAGAAGCTTGCGCCGGTGCCCATAGGCAGCCGCCACCACCGCGATTGGCACGACAAGGCCTTGGAGAAAAAAGAGCCAGAGCACGCGGGCAACGCTGCCGAGCTTGATATGGACGCTATTGCACGAGAGACTGTAGGCGAGACCAACACAGTCGTGTTTGAGGGCTGTCTCTACATAGAGTGGCGACACACTGTCCAAGGCCACGTACGCAACCCAGATGACACCCGAGCTCACATAGCCGGCGCTATGAATGCCCTTAGCGTTGAACGGAAGGAGGAGCTCTTGCAGCACATAGGTGATCCAAAGGGCTTCCCACGCCAGGAGCATGCTCTCAAAGGGTGAGCGCGACGGCAGGTGCAAAGCAGCCGCGCCATGCACAGACGAGACACCGATCGGGGCCGTACCCAGAAGGATGAGCGCCGAGGCGCCGCGAAGAAACAAAAGCGGACGCCCGAGCCACGTCGAGCCCGCGACTCGGTGAAAGTACGTCAAGTTGAGTCCGAGGAAGCGCAGTTTGGCCATGCACGCATACATGGTCGTGGCGAGAACGAGAAGACCAAGGAGCACCGACGAGTAGACAAGCAAGATGTAGATCGCCTTGGTCGCTCGGCTCAGCGTGGCCGTACTCGGCTCGGTCGAGCCCGCGTCGTACATGTCGGACATGAGTACCAAGGTGGCCGCATCGCCTTCAAACGCAACGACCTCGCGAACGCCACTGACCCAGTCAAAGAGCATCGCGTGACCGTAAAAGCGCCACGACGGCTCGAGAATTGGCAGCCACAAGAGTGCATACTCGACACCGTCAACGTCAGAAGCGTACTGCATGAGGCTCACGTTGAGCGCGGCGACAGCAGCCGATGTGTTGGTGACGAGCTGCGACCAGGAGCCAGAGACCGGGTACCGCTCCAAAAGTGCTATCGCAATGTCCATGTCGCTGGCGCAACTTGTGACGCCTTGAAGGTCACAGACGGTACTGCTAATGCTCGAAGTGTTGTTGCTGTTGCTGCCGTCGGTGGTGTTGCTACTGGCCGTGCTATGGATACCGTCCTGAGAGGCGAGGAGACCGAAGAGCAGCGCTTCGGGGGCAATGTTGATCGTGAGCGGTTGCTGGAGCTCGCACGTCGCGTCGGCCGTGAACGGCGCTTGTATATAGTCTCGCGCCAAGCCGCCAAGGCACAAGGGGTTGCCACCATAGTAGAGGTAGTCGTTGCCCAAAGCATCGCTTAGCCACGGCAGTGGCAGCGGCTGCAAGCTCATGGCGCGGAGGTTCTGAAACCCAACCGCAAACTGTGCGTTGGTTTGGAGCGCGTTGTGGAGCGCTGACGTGACGGCGGCGACGAGCGCAATGAGTACAGGAGGCGGCGGCAGCACCCACATGTCGACCGCGAGGAACGGGCCAAGGAACGTATGGCTGAGGCCGGTTTGGGCGACAAAGTTACCATAGTCGTCGGATAAGAAGAGCGCGCCTTCGAGGTCCGTCGTCATGTACGAGAAGCAGTAGTCGCTCGTAAAGTACATGGTCGTGTTGCGAATGAGACTCATGTTGCACGAGGTGCCGACCGTGTAGATGTCGTTGATGAAGAAAAAGTTGAGGTTCATGGTCGTCCACGGGCCTCTGCGCTTGGTCGACGACTTGAGTGTCACCGACTGCTCGATACTCAGCGCGTTCTCAATCACAAGCAGTTGGTCAAGGCCCGGGAGGTAGTACGTCTGCCACTGCAGCTCATAGTTTACGATACCATAGCTCGACCAAAATGCAATCTCTTCAACCACCGACGTGTTGGCCGCTGCTGTCGCTGCCATCCAGGTCCGCCCGTCGGCAGATGCTTGAAGCCCCCGCTCGATCGCGGGTGCAAACCCAGTGCCGGCGGCCAGCGCAATCGCGTTCCAGTCTTGGTTGCGCAAAACGGCTTCGAAATAGACAGCGCCATTCGTGATCATGGTCGCAGCGCATCGGCGCTGGCGCGCCTCTGTGTGGGCGAGCTCCCAGCGCCGGCCAAAGTCCACGTAGCAGTATTGCGTGGGCAGCCAAAGCGCTTCGGTGGCCGTCGCGTTGCGCAGATTGGGTATCACATATGCAATGGACGCCAGGTCGTGCGTCGACAGCCGCATGGCGTACGCCGGGTGCGCCAACGGCGTGAGCACCGCGCCGGTGTAGTCGCGGTGGATGGCCACGGACGCCACGTCGACGAGGGCGGGAAGGTCGGTTGTTGTCGAGAGCAAGTCATTGATGACGTCAATCAGCAGCACTTGGTAGCCGGTCGCGTTAAAGTATGGCCACCAAAGGTCGTTGCGAAAACTCGGCGTCAAGAGCCACATGTACCAAACGCTTCCTGCGAGGCCGAGCCAGATCCAGCAGAGACCGACGAGGGCGACGAGGACCTGGCGCCCAGAGCGCTTCTCGGCAACGAGACCTTTGGGCAATGCGCTGACGGTCGGTGCCACTGCGTTGATCATCGGGTTGACAAGTGGGCACAACCCCGTAGCAGTTTCGTAACGTAACGCCTTTAGAAAGGGCAACCTCATTGCGTTTGCCCCAGTTTGTCCCATCCATTGCTACGTATCCGGTGATCGACTTACTTGGCGTGATATAAATGGGGAAAAACCCGGTTTGTCCCAAAACGAGTGACTCGACATCATCGTGTGTTGAAGTTCCAGCCCTGCCGAGGCCACACGCTTCATGTTGTACTACGTAAATAAACGCGGCCATGCATGTTTGGGCAAGGACCTAAACACTGTCTATCGATCCTTGGTATGCATGCATCGAACGGTATACAGCTGTCCGCCACGACAGCTACCGGTAGTGTACCTGCATGAGCCCCCGTCGTGCGAGTCTTTACTCCCGTCGGGTACGTCAGTGTCGTTTGCTTGGTTGTATGCTATCAACCAGTGCATGATCCTATATATATGCGCTTGGACACACGCGAAAAGTGCGGTAAGCAACTGCTGCCTCGTGGAGCGACGCCTTTTCGAGCTACTTCCTGCAGTATCCTGGCTCCAAACAGGCGGCGGGATCTATCTACCATTTCCCGTTGTTGGTGTGGTCAAAGACGGGCAATCTTCGTTGCATGTAGAGCCTTTGTCAGCCTAGTACACGGCCTACACGGCTGAGGACAAAGCGTTTCTGGGCCAAGACGATCGTGAATCCGCTGGATTCAGGCAAGGACGTTTCTCTTGTCCCGATGGACATTGCTCCCACTCCCATGTTGAAGACTCGAGCACCAATCTGCTTTTGGGCATCAAATACCGGTCGTGTTCTTGGTCATTTGCTCGGCGCTGTGTTCTTGGTCATTTGCTCGGCGCTGTGTTCTTTAGAGCCAGCTGGGCGCCCGCGAACGACGGTTGCAGTTGCATGCGTCTTCTCCACGCGGCGCGAAGTTGCGTGGCGTTGAAGCGCAGCCAAAAACAAACGCGGTGGACGCTCGAACATATTCGAGTTTGTATGCTGCACCGCAGACGTGCGATGTCTGATCGGGCGCCGCACCCAACACGATCCACCGGCCAATTGTTTTCACAATCCAAGTCGTGTCATGCGTGGCCACTCTACGACTTGACAGCACAACGACGCTCCTTCGACTCTTCCCCCGCTACTCCTCGACGGCAGTGGCGTCGTTCGCCGCGCTGCCTCCGTGGCTCGCGCTACAGCTCGGGCCGCTTCGAACCCCGCCGCCCCCAGTCCTTTTGGACACCTTTCGTTGGCCGCCACTTTGTGACATTTATACGCTCGACAAATCCCGTCGCCTCGGCCACGGCAGCTCGAGCGACCTCTACCTTGGGACCCACAAATTCAGTCGCAAAAGCGTCGCTGTCAAGCGCTTCCATCACGTGCCGATGATCAACCAAGCGTACCAGCGCAAGGATCTCCGGTCCGAGGTCGCCGCCTTGCGCGCGCTGCGCGGCCAAAAGCACATTGTCCAAATTCTCGATCACTACACGACCGATCACGATGACGAGATGGACGTCGTGCTCGAGCTCGTGCCCGGCGGCACGCTCGCCGACCTCTTGTGCAACCAAGGTCGACTGGCCGAGCCGGTGGTGCGATCGCTGCTCGACCAGCTTGTGGATGCAGTCGCCGCGTGCCACGATTGCGATATTGTGCACCGCGACATCAAGCCCGACAACATTCTCTTGACCGACGCCGACCCGACGCGCGCCGTCTTGAAGCTTGGCGACTTTGGCTTTGCTACGTCGGGCCGGCATGGCCTCACGCGGCGCTGCGGCTCGTCGGGGTACATGGCCCCCGAGATGGAGGCGGGTGCTGTCTACGGCCACAGCATCGACGTCTGGAGCGTCGGGGTCGTCGCCTACAACCTCCTTACGGGCTGCATGCCGGTCTTTGATGCGTCGTCCACTCGAGTTGTGCTGCCTCCGGACGCGGTGCTGTCGCCCCGCGCTGTTGACTTTTTGAATACGATATTGGAGCCCAACCCGTCGTTGCGGCCGACGATCGATGCGCTCAAGCTACACCCGTGGCTGCAAATGTCGTCGCCGCCGACGACGAGCCTCGCTGGCTTCCTTACGCAGTGCAAAGCAATGGCGCGCGACCCGGCTGTGGCCAAGCGCCTCGCGAATGTGGTTTGTGCTCTGGAAGCGTGCGAGGCAACACCCGCCGTGGACCTGGATAGGCTCGTCGCAGCCGTGGTCGCGGCCCTGGATGACGTCACCACGGACTTGCCGCTGCTCGGCGGGCAAGTCGAGGCCTACCGCGCCTCGCTGCGACAACTGGACGTGTGCTGCCGATAGTAGGTAGCGATGCGCGTCGATGCGATGTGTTGCCGATCGAAGGCGACACTTGTATGTGTGTACATGAGCACCCTGTAGACTAAGAAGCTTGTAGACTATTGGAATGAAATGAATGTCTAGTCCATGTGTTCTGTGGCATCGTGTCTTGTACAAGTGACAAAAGAGGTCTACGAGACACGCGCATTTTAGTTTAGCGCAGTTTTGATGGAAAGAGGCGGCTACGCGGTCTCTCAAAAGCATGTAATACGTTGTTGCTAATTATGTATTCTTAGAGGTATGTATTTATATAGTATTTCATATGAAACCGTCAGTCCATATCACCGCGGCGGTGACATCCTCATTCTGGCATGATCCAGCTTGCCCGTGGGTGAAAAGGACTGTGCTTTTGGCATGTACACGGTCGGCATGTCTTGTGTACGATGATGCTCAAAGTCCAATTCATTTCCGCTGGCACTTGCACGTTGAAAGAGCAGTAGCCCGTCATGGTGCTACTCAAGCCGAACGGCGTCGGCTTATCATGCTGCAGTGCCGTCTCCACCATAGATGTTTGATGGGGTGCACTTCTTTAAAGCAGTGTAAAGGGCTTTCGTCAATAAAGGCTATGGAGGCGTGCAGCTTACGAATCGGGAGGAAGTCGGGCGACTGCACGTGCCGTTGACGCATCCGCAGCGCTGCTTCAGGTTTGTGCAGAAGAAAATGCGTTGCTTCTTGAAGTTGGGGACTTACGAACGTTGCAGTAGCTTTAGACCTCATGAAATCGACCAACAGCACACGTATACTCTAAGTAAGAGCGTTGTTTGAGGCGCACTGAGGAGCACTTGAAGAACGGAAAGGAGACGCATGTGCGTTTTATCATTGAAACGACGCTTGAAGAAGCTATTTGAAAGAGCTACTGCAACTTGCTAGCATCGAACGACGAATGTTCTGCTTCTCACCAAGTTGATGCGCCCCCCTTTCCGCGCCCCCTTGGTCCCTGCCGCCTCCTGCCGCGTCATGTTGCATTTGGCGATCTGCTATTGTCTTTTAGCCAATCAGCGGTGGAGACATCATGTGCGTGGTGTCCCGAGACGTCGTGTTGACGTAGTCTTCCTCTGTCTCTTCAAGCCCCAACTGCAGTGTCAAGGAATAAACCAGCACGATGATGCACCCGGGCCGCTATTTCTCTTTCGATATACAGAAAGACACCGTCTCTGGCTTCAAGACCCTGTTTTGCAGCAAGCAAAGAGCCTTTGAACGCAGCCGTTGCATGCAATCGAAGGCTCGCGCACTCATGCGTCGTCGGCGAGGCCCACACACCACCGATCGCTTGGAATGTGACTTGTTGATGGAAGTGATGCAATGCTTGCATTGCGAACGTTGCAGCCACAGTGCCGCCACTTCGTGCTTGAGCGTTTCGCACCGCCTGGTATGATCCACCTCTAAGACACGAAACTGCCAGTTGAAACCGCCACCGTGGGACCATGACGCTAAGGCGCCAAGATGGAATGGTCGACTGGATTCCAACCACCTTTCGTGGAGGCTGACGACGCGGCGTGTCTGTCGCGTTCGAAGCCTGTCGTGCTCTCGCGCTCTCGAGGCTTGCCACATATTGTACGTAGGAAAAATTGAGTGTCTAGTCCTTCGTAACAAAATGCAAGCGAGGGCTATATTCGGTGACACGTACATGGGTTCGTCCATCGTGGGACCAACGAGCAATCGGGCGTGTGTTTTGACGCAGCAGAACCACGTACGCTGTGGATGACCACAAGGCAAAGATCCAAGAAACGCCAAACGAAACTGGCACCTTGAAGTTGAAAAGGTTCACTTTGAACTTCAAGCGCCCTGTCACATGTCGCGCGCCCATGTTTCCCCACATGTCATTTTGCAAAACGATGGCCCGCGCCAACACCAGTACTATCTCGAGTGGCGTCTACGTGCGGTCCAAAATGCACGTGTACCGCAAGGTAGCGCCGCCAGCAACCCAGCTTCTCCAAGTGCGCCGTCCGCCAGAGGTTGCCCACCCGCACTACCACGTAGAGACGCAAGACAACCAGTATCCGTTGGCGCCGCCAAAGTATTCGTTGGACTTTTGGGACGAGATCACTGAGCTGCTAATCGAGCCCGTCGAGGAGACGAAGCCGTTGTGGCAGAGCCCCGAAGCGACGGCGACGAGAGACCACCTGCTTCGCGAGCTCGCGTCCATCCAAGTGCATGGTCTGCACTCTATTTAAACGCTCAAATTTTATTTATGGTGCTGAACGAGCAGGATACGAGTTGAACGAGGGATGAAAGACATGGAGGTACGCTATAGTTTAGAGCTCAAGTATCTCAAGTATAGCAGAAGACACGTATGGGGAAGGAGAGGATAAGCAGATCGAGCGATGCTTGCGCCTTCCAAGGTAGACAGCAGAGAGCTTTGGACCGCGATGGAATCTGTAGTAATCGCGCGTGAGTAGCGCGCGGTCAGCTCAAAAACACAAGTGTCCAAGTGCGTCAACTTTAGGAAGTGCGAACAAGAGAAACGTGGTACCGAGGCTTGGACCGACGTCAGCGCACGGCAACTCAGATTCATGGGGCCGTCCACGGTGGTGTCACGTGTCCACCTCAGCGTCTCCAGTCGGAATTTTAGAATCAAACGGCAGCGGCCGACTATACAACGCAAATCAAACGAGACCGAGTCGACTGTGAAGTGCCCTCAGATCCATCGACTCAGAAATATGTGGCGTCGAATTGGTCGAAGGACGCGAAATAAAATGTCGACCACGCCCCGTCACGACTGAGACTCGACGAACGCGGTCCTCTGTGGGAAGTACTACCGCAGTGGCCGCAACGAAACCAAGCGGCGCAACCCTCGAGCTCGACTCGAGCTGCAATCTGCAATCGCCAAATTCTGGGGCTTGTATGACTTGCGACTGCAGTCGAGATATCGAGCTCGATCGTGCCGATACTATGAAAGAACCATCGAACGGGTCCGGCGACGACAGCAGCTTTGACCAAGTCAACAAAAACCCGAGCCGAATGGGTCTTTCGATGCTTAGTGTTAACGTCTATTGACGGCGCATAAACCACTTGCGCATCACTTCGACATGGACCTCGCTCTGTCCGATACGCTGAATTGACGACGTTTTTGGTCAAATCCTGGCGTGGAGTCGACCTCGTTCGCCTAACGGTGTTGATGCGGTCAAACTCCAAGTCTGCCTTTTGCGTGCTATGTGTATGTACACGCGAGGGCGGTGTAGCGTCCTGAAGTGACACGATAACTGCGTTCGTCTGGGCAAGGGATACAAATTTACTCCGGTGGTCTGGCGTGCCATGTTTACCCCTTACTCACGTCTTCTGGCCGTTCTTCCTCGTTTGACATTGTCGAATTTGTCTCTACATACAGCAATATCCCTCAATCTACGAACTACGAACGTTCCGACGAGCTAAAACGCATTCAAAATACCTGACACAGCATGGACTTTTGTCCGTCACGATGAACGTCTGGTCAACGTATTACTCCATCAAACTATAGCAACTACTAGATTAATTAAAGGATAGGACATCAGTCTTTGTACTATACAGAGGCAGTCGGTGCTGCCTCGTTTGGCCGAAGGAGGTCGACACAGAGACGCTCGATCACCTTCTTTCGGTGCTCGTTGCCGTCTGGCGCGTCGTATTTGGAGCGCAAAATGCTGTACAATTGGTTGCTCCGTTGGCTCTGCAGTGCAAGGCGCGCAGTCCCCAGCGTCTCGTCGAGCGCCGACGGCTCTAGACACAAAAATCCATAAATGCTACAAATGCTAAATATCTACCGAGGGGTCGTAGCGGGTCTTCGTAGAGCACATAGAGCTTCTTCTTGGTGGATGATGTCTGCGTCGAGTCGCGCTGCGGGTGCTGTAAGAGCGGCACGGCACCGTCCGAGAACGTTCGCTTGCGCTCGATCGGCGGCACTGGATGCTTTGGCTGGACTTCGAGAAGTGCAATCTCTTGTTGCACGACGAGCGACCGCGACGACGCGATAAAGGTAAATGTGCCCTCGATGACGCACGCCGCGTCATCGGGTGTCGGGTCCGAGAAGGCAACGTCCCCGGCCAACGACGACTGGGTCGATCGGTCGGTCGCCTGCGTCGCGCGCAAGCTCGGGCGCACCTTGACCGAGCGCTCGGCTCGACTGAGTGTAAACTGAGGCGCTTCGCACGCCGCACAAATGTAGTCGTCGCCGCGCACGCGGCAGCAGCGCCGGCAATAGACCTATCGTGTTGCGGTCGATACATTGATACTTTTCTTTTTTTTGTACCTCAACACAGTAGTCACAGGTGCGGGAGCGTTGAAACAAACTCGAGAATTTCACACTGCACCGGTGGCAGTGCGCGCGCTTGGCTTTGACAAAGACCGATGACGCAGACGGCGTCAGTTGTTCCTGGAGCTGCAGCACCTAATGGTCCACAGCATCGTTTAAAATGAGGTCGTCCGAGGAATATTTTTGTACTTGGCTCACTTGGGACACCATGGTATTAGCCGCGAGGAATTGAGGGAGCGACCCGTGGTACTTGGCGCAGAGCACATTGTGGTAGTCGAGGACACCCGGCGTGTCGGTCTCGATGAATACGTGTCCAGACTAACAGCGTCAAGAGCCTTCAGCACGGAATGCAGCGAAGAAGAGAACGTACGCGGAAGAGCTCGGCCCGTACGAGGCCGTGCGAGCTGCGGAGCGACGGGCACGACGGCGACGGGATCGAGTGCAGCATGCGCAGCCACCCACGACGCTCCTTGCCGCTCGCCTCGTCAAAGTAGACAAATGCATCTTGATACTACGACGCCAACGATCAACTCAGTCAATCCGCGAGACACATCGGTACCTCGAGGACACAATAGTCACGCGGTGCAACGCCGACGAGCGGGCTCGCACAGGCGACCCAGTGCAGGCCAACGTAGTGCATGGGCTGCGCCTCCGACCGTTCGATAAGCGTATACAACGTCTGGCCGTTGACAACGCCAAACGCTCTTCGCTGGGGCAGTTGATCGAAATCAAAGAAAGCTACGACGTCATCGAGCCGGCAGCCGTGGAGCTGTGTCGAGGCGACGGCGCCAGGCACGCTTGGGTCGACGCGATCGCGGCCGCGGCAGATCTAGCATCCGTAGTTCGTTCGTAAGTATGCGAGCACAAGAGCTTGACAGACGTACGCGGGCTGTGGCACCCGTGGCCTTGCTCGTGCACACCTTGGCCGCACGCGCGCGCTGCATGTGAAGCGCATTGAGGAGCGTGTCTTGCGACGCGGCGAGTGCGAGCTGGACGTACGCCTCGCGCTGCGCAGTGTGCAGTGGCGGGCAGTGGAAGAAGCGCGGTGGCACCGACGCCATCGCAGCAAGACGATGCGTGCGACGGGTTGCAGGACGAGAAATGGGCATCTGGGTGGCGATCTTGGTGGTCGCGTCTGAGCAGGGCATTACCACAGAGCAGTACAGTGCGCCACCTACGTGCACCTGGGCGCGCGCCATAAACAGGCGGCGCTGTACTTTTCTAGGCAATTGCCGGGATCGGCGATCCCCAATGGTTTGCCCGCGCTTTCACAGCGAACCCGCGCGAACGGAAGCGCGTACTTGGGTGCGACTGCGGCGAGAGGACGAGATGCCCGTCGTCTACTCGTAGTACGGTCGGAACCTGGTCGGGTCGCATACAGTCAGCAAGGTTCATGATGGACCTTGCGTGTCACGGGTGCGCTATTAGGGTGGTGTGCGCCATGTCCAGTCGATCAAGTGTCGTGTGAAGGATGTTATCGGTCGACAATTTTTGCAATAGCCCCAATTAATAGGACCGAGTGGTTGCTAGAGGAGACTGGACGAGGCGCACTCACGATCACGCCACTAGAAGAGTGGGACACGAGGCAATCAATCGCGAGACAACGACGACGACACGCGTCTTCTCGGGACGCACAACTAAGAATTTCGTTAAGAATTTCGGGATTTTCCGTAATTTTCGGGATTTTTCGTTGAATCGACACGCCATGCGACAGTCGCTCGTTGACGCTGGCGGCACTTTGATCGACTATACTTACTATGTCCATTTAGCAATGACGACTATAGTCCATTGAACGCTTGTCGCTAGTTAAGTCTGTCTCGATGACATCAACGGTAGTACGCTGCCCAGAAAGACCTCTGATCGGCGCCGTGCCCCGTGGAGTGTCGCCCGCTGCGGGCGGTTGCAAGTCCGGATACACGAGGAATCGTATCAACCGAGGCAAGTCCACAGTATCGAGTCGCTCCTCAAGACCACACTTCGATCCTCTGATCGCCGCTTTTTCTCGTCCAAGACTGACAACTTTTCAGCGTTCAAGCGCGAAATTTGTGCATAATCCCGGTACAACGTAAAACCATGGACATATTGTTTATCCTTGACGATGGCACCCATAAATTCATAAAGTCATAAATTCATAAAGTCATAAATTCATAAATTCATAAACGACATTACATAGTCGTCTCTGTCGCCCATGCTTCCCAGAGCGTCAAAATTCGCTTGAGGTACGACGCGCACGCATCGTGTTCGAGCAGCCGAAGCAGCCAGTTGAACGGCCAGAGCCTTCGGTGCGCATGGTCGTCATAAAGACCGTCGCGCTTGCGTTCGTGGCCGCATGCCGAGCGATTGCTATTCGCAGAGCCCTCTCACCCGGTAGCATCGTCGCTGCGTCAAACCAGCGCAAAAGATGCGTGAGGCACTCGGGCAAAATGCCGCCGCGCCCCGGGTCGCCACCTTGTACCCCAGACTCAGGACAAACAGCAGCGTGTCGAGAGGATCCTTTGCATCGCAAAAGCAGTCGCGCGCGAGCCGGCGGTAGGCGGGTGCGTCGCCAAACCGCGCTGTCCAAAACAGAGTCGACCGCAGCGAGCAAAGGTTCTGGTCGATCATAGAAAGCGCAGAAACGGGTGCGGCCCCGACGGACGGCAACGTGGACGACCTCGTCCGACCGACACGCGGCCGGTACGTGTCGTACAAGTACGCGAGCACCTCGGGCAAGGCGCTCCCAGCTTCGACAATGTCGATGGCAGTCGGGTGCTCGACGCGGGTCGATCGCAACATTGACCACGACATCGAGACCGGCGCCCCGGGCTGCGTACAACAGCCACTGCATCGAGACGGATGAGGTCGCCGCCGCCACAACACACGCCGTGTCAGGGCCCGTATCGACACGCCGCCTTGGCCCACGTCGTCAAACGTACTGTGGCGCCAGCGGTAGTCGCGGACAGAGAGGTAAGCGGCAACGTCAGCCTGCCCAGAGGCGAGAGCAACGTGCCCCGCATGCTAGGTCGGTTCGTGGGCGCGGCGCGGCGGCGGTAGCGAAAGGCTTGTGATATAGTCGTCGAGCAGCTGGACGAGCGCGACCGACCCGTGGGACCACACGCTTCGACGAGGCTGGCACGCGTCGCCAAGCGAAACACCGGGTCGTACGTCCGCAAGAGGGTCGCGACAAAGTCGACATGGCCACCGTCGAGTGCCGAGGCAAGGGTCGGCAGCGAGACGCGCGCCGGGCACAAAGAATCTGCAGCGTCGTCCAGCTGCTGGCGCTGTCGATCGCGGGGGCGTAGATCAGCGCGCTCTGGAGCATGACATGGGTCATCAGATAGGCTAGTACGTCGCGTTGCCCTTGCGCAGCGGTGCTCAATGAGGAAGCGACTGAGGTGTCTGTGTTGATGGCTGCGCCGCTCATCGCGTTGGAGGTGCAGCGCTGGCCGTCATGATGCATCTGCATGGCCAGTGCGAGAAGGCCCTGCGCACAGCGTCCATGGTCGTGGCTTTCACCGCCGCCGACCCATGGTGTGATGGCGGCGCTCGCCGCGCGGGCTTGGATCGCGCTCGCGAGTGCGTTGACCCTGTTGACCTTGGGCGCAAAGACCTTTAGCAGCACAAGGAGCTCGGGGGCATCCCGCGCCACCACACGCGCCTCGACCGAGGTCGTCCGCGACCGGGATACGTACCGGTAGGTCGGATCCAAGCGGTCCTTCTTCGCAAGCCAGATCTTAGCCACGTCGGTGTGACCGTGGGCTAAGGTGCACGCAATGAGCTCGACTGAGAGCTGCTGCGGGCGACAGGCCAGTGCCCGCAGCACGACCTCGTCATGGCCACGCGCGACGGCAAAGTGGATCGGCGCCGCGAACGCTTGCCGGTCAATGTCGCCCGTCTGCAGAAAGAGGCCGCCGCAGTCCAAGTCGAGCGAGGCGCCGGGCTGGAGGCGGCTCGGGTAGATGGTCGCCTCGTGCGCGAGCGGCCGCTGCTTGGAGCTGCGCAGATGCTCGCACGCGTGGCGGTGAAACGTAGCAACGTATGCGACCACGTCTTCATACAGGCCGTCCAGGAAGCTCGTGGTGATACGGCGCCGACACGCGACCAATCAAACGCCGTCGTTTATCGAAGCGTCCAAAGGGGCCAATCACGTGCGTTGTTTTTTAGAAAGTGCAAGATCGCAGTGCAAGCAACAGTGCTTGACGACGTGGCCGACCCTCTCCTGCTCGGCAAGACACTTGCGTGCACGCTCGACAACTAGGCAACCGAGGCGGGGTACTGTGTATAGAGTCTGCTCTTACTACGTTAAATGGAACATACTACGCGTATATCAAGGATGGGTCAATACTTTAGCGGAGGCGGTGGTACATGGGGCCTTCGCCGACGTTGCACATGCCGCTGTACGTGTTGGGAGCGTTGCGCTGGAGCTTGATGTAGCCGTTGTCGCCCCAGTTGGGTCCCCACGAGTTCTTGATCTTGTAGTACGGCGTGCCGTTCTCGGTGCCGTAAGCCACCGCGAGCACGGCGTGGTCCGAGCGCTTGCCGGGGCACGACGTGACGACACCGCCCTTGTAGAAGCGCCACGCGTCGTTGCCGGCCTCGACCGTCACGGCCGTCGGGCGCAGCTGGAGCGACGCGACAAGGTTATTTTCGCCGTACGTGCGCACGGCCGTGCCGATCTTGAGCTGCTTCTTGGTCGGGCACGACGACGACTTGCACTCGCCGTTGACCTTGGTCGTCCCAGACGTGTACGGGTAGTCGGCCGCGAGACACATGGGCGTGCGCGCAAGCGTGTTCATGGCGGCGTTGGCGCTACCACCGTCGCAGCCGCCACCGCTGCGGCTATCGCAGCTCACGAGCTCCTGGACAGCCACGTCGACCTTCTCGCCCGTCGCGAGGCAGTGGGCAAACTCGGCGACCGCGACGGCTGCGAATGCGTAGCACGACCCGCACTTGCCTTGGTTGCGCACGTCGGGGAGGCACTTGTGGGTCGTCCAGTCGACCGATTCCTTGCCGCTGGCTTGGAGCTGGCGCGTCTCGACGTCCATGTCTTCGCGCAGGCGCTTGCTCTGCTCAAACGAGCGCGCGACCGTCGCCTTGAACTCGTCATTTGTGAGGAGGGCGAACGGCGTCTCGATGCTGAACGTCGCGCTCGGCTGCTCGCGCTGGAGGCGCGCCACGGCCTCCTTGGCCGCAAAGAAGCGCTCGAGCTCGCTCGCCTCGACTTCGGTCGACTCGAGCTTGGACGGCGTTGGGAGCAAGCCGAGGTTAGCCGCCGCCTGACCAGCCGGCGTCGCCTTCCACGCCTCGAGCTCGTTGGCGAGTGCGTGGGCGTCGTCGAGGGTGAGGGCTTCAAAGCCCGACTGCGCGGTCGCGAGCACAAGGGTGGAGAGGAGGATCGGAGTGGTTTTGGCCATTTTGAAAAATGACATGCTGAAGGCTGAAAAGGAAACGACGACGTGCGCCAGAGAGATCGACTCCCACGTGTACCTAGGGTCGTAGAAGGAGCACATCGTACGGTCGTCGATTGGGACAGGCAAAGACGGTCCATCTCAGCCATCTTAGTCGATGCAAACGGACGGCGCCTAGTTGATTAAGAAACAAAAGCACCTAAGATCTGAGCTGGAATGTGATGTAATTGGTGACGTACGGCTGACCACGGTGTGTCCTTGTCCTAGGATATCACACACTCGAGCGTCCGCGGAGCAAGCACGCCTGTAGGCGGTGGCATGCTACAGCCGGACGGGATCAAGGCCCTAGGATACGGCGGAACGCGAGATCCCGGTTTCCTTATCACCCAATCTATTCAGCGAACGCATCGGACCGAGAGGCATGTCTGAAACGACCCTGTCGCGGTCAGTTAGCGCTAGTAGATGCCAAAGGGGCTCTACGTCCCACTACCTTGCTGAGCACAACGAGCGACGCGACTGCAAATCTGGTCGTCCAACGCGATTGGGGTTAGGGCTACATGGCGCCGTGGGACGTCTGTATGTGGGTGTGTTCAACTATCAACGCTAAAGAAAGCTATAAACCTCTCGCACGCACACGCCGTGAAATTTCTCGATGGGAATCAATGTAGTTTGGCTTCGACGCTATTCGATGTGCTTCTGCGCCGGACGCATTTTTGGCCGCAGAAAATGTCGACTCGGCGTCGGAATGCGACCGCCTTTCCGGCTGCCAAACCGTACGTGGCAGTGTACGTGGCAGCTCTACGTGGCCGGGATGGTGGCGTGCTATTCACTACTGGTACTGTAGCTTGGTGCCAGTACGGTTCCTATTGCTAGGTGCAGCGACAGCCTCCTATCGTCCGCCGGCGCTTCCTCCGATGGCGCATCGTCACGCACTGGACAGGCCATCGCAGCATTGTGAAACCGCCACCTTGAGTATCAAGTCTGGTTGCCTTTTTATATTGATACCGTGTCGTGAGGCGCGCACATATTCATCGGCATATATATTGCGCCGACTTGACGCCGTTAAACCTGTTCCACGTGTTGATATTGGAATAAAACACAGTTCCACGTGTTGATATTGGAATAAAACACAATATTTTCGTGGCGGTAAATCTGAAAAACGCGTTGAACGTCGCGAGCCAGGTCACAATCAACCGACAACGTCGCCGCGAGGCGCAGTCGCAAACATGGTCACGACGCTCACCGACGTCTTTTACCCGTCGTCGGCGCTGGCGTCGGTCATCTTGAGCTTCCAAGGCGGCGTCGACGGCGTGCTCCGAGCTTACCTCGAGCACTTCTATCGTACGACATGGCACGCCGGCGATACGCCCGGGCCCAACTGGAGTTTATGGAACGGCCTGCTCGAGCAAGAGATGCGCCCCGGCTACTACGCGCGGCTGGACCCGAACGACCTTATTGCGGCCAAGTGCACGGTGATTGAAGAGAACGCGAGCTACACCTTGGAGCTGCACGCGGCGATTGCGCACGGCGACGCCGACCTGGTTGCGCGCTACCTAGCACGTTGGCCAGACAGAGTGACCGCCGAGACGTTTGCGTGCGCGTGCATTTATGGGCATAACGCCCTCGCCGTCACGCTCGTGGCGATGCCATGGCGCGCGCCCTCGTGGATCGAGCGGATGCTCCAAGTGGTCCCAATGACAGCCGTGCCCGTGCTCGCGGTGGCCTGCAACGACGCCGACTTGTTGTCGCTGCTGACGGCGCACTACGAATGTGCATGGTCGGCCAGCGCGATGCTAGCTGCAATCCACCAGCGCTGCGACGTGTCAGTGCAGTACCTCTACACGCACCACCGGACGGCGACGGCGATCGACAACCTCTTGGACCTCGCGGCGGCCGCGGGCTTGCTCTCGTTAGTGCAAATACTGCATGTGGATGGTTTTGCCTGCACAACCGCCGCCATGGACGACGCGGCCACCAACGGCCATTTGGAGGTCGTCCGCTTCTTGCATCTGTATCGTAATGAAGGCTGCACGACAGCGGCCATGGACGGCGCCGCGTCGAACGGACACCTGAATGTCCTTGCTTTTCTGCACACAACGCGCCGCGAAGGCTGCTCGGACCGCGCAATCGACGGCGCGGCCGCCCTCGGGTCGATTGTGCTACTCGAGTACCTCTACGAAAACTGCGGCCGTCGCCCTACATATATGACCCTCTACCGCGCTCTCCAGCATGGCCGCTACGGAGCTTTCATGTGGATGCTCGATGTCGCGAAGCCGCGCCAGCCCGGCTATTACGGACCTCTAAGATGGCTGCTCGATGTCGCGCAGCCGTGCCTCATTGAGAGTGAGTTTCAACGATTTCTCCACTTCGTGGCCGGCGCCCCTTCCTATGATCCGCGCATACTGGCTGCACTCCTTGCGTGCCGGCGCGACAAGGACGGTTCATTGGGCTCACTTCAACTCGTGCGCAGAGCGCTGCTCCATGGTCACGTCGCATTGGCCAACGAAGCGCTGCTGCACGGCGGCGCGGTGCCCGACATGTTCGCAGTGCAGGAAGTGCGCACGATGGCGGCGCGTCCTTTGGTGGTCGAGCTGGTCGACCTCTTGCACGCCCACGGCGTCGATGTCTACACGGCAGAGTGGGTCCAAGCAGCGTGTGACGTCGGCGCGTGGCCGCTGTGGCAGCGCGTGTGCGAGCGCGGCGCGCACGGCGTCCAGATGGAGCGTCTTCTCCACTGCGCCCGGCGCCACGGTAAAAACATTATCGAGATGGTCCATGTCCCCGGCGTCGCACCGCCGACGCTCGAGACGCTCGAGTATTGCATGCGTCTTGGTTTGATGGACGTCTTCGAGGCGCTCTACACTGCGTACCCGAGTCTATTTTCCCACGCAGCGTTGGAAACCATTGTCGAGCGGACAGCGTTTCCACATACGGTACCGTTCCTTGCGTTTGCGCTCGACAAGAAGTTTGGCACGGCAGCGGCGATCGATGTCGTACGTGCGCCGCGCCGGGCCCGACCCCTATTGCTCGCCCACCGCCCCGCCCACAAGCAAGTGGCCACGTCAGCCGGGTTTTCTGCTCCGCTGTAGCGCAACAGTCTCGACATCGACGATAAATAACAATACGAGCAAGGTCCTAACCAAAGCCTCCTAGGGATACTTGCACCAACACAAAAGATAGGACGCTACCCGTACGGTACATACAACGTGCACATCGAAGAGGTACATCCAGTGGATAAGGCCACGTATCAGCAAGTCTAGTTGGTCGCACAAGCACGGCGGCAGGCTTTACCCTAGCCCTACCCTAGCCCTACCCTAGCCCTAGCCCGCGGATGTGGGGAATAAGGACTCGGAACGATCGATCGACCATAGCATTCTCGATCCGCACCATCATCAGGTAGCCTGTTGTCCCTTTAGCGAGGTCCTCACGGAGAGGAGAGGGCTCTCTAGTTCCCCACTCTCATTTTTTAAAACGCAAAAATCGAAACAAATCAAAGTTTAATAAATACGAGTCAGTAGGCTTCTATCGTGGCGACACGCCAGTTGGAAAGCCGTGCTGATGAAAACGCACTTGGATATCGCGCGCTGTCGGGCGTAAACTCGGGTCGGTTGCAATGCACTGCATAATAAGTTCTTGGAGCCAGAGCGGGCAGTCGACGCGCACCGTCGGCTGGATCGCACCGGCGATCACCATGGACACGATCGCCGTGTCGACGAGCGGCGCGCCCGACTTTTTGCTCTTGACGTCCGTGTACGGGATCATGTGCGTGTCGAGCTCCGTGAGGAGAATACCAAACGAAAAGATGTCGGCCGCGACCGAGTACTGGTTCTCACTCAGTACCTCGGGCGCCATCCAGCGGTACGTGCCGACGCCACGCGTCATGGTGTGTGTCGTCGACGCAGGCCGCGCGGCGCCAAAGTCCGAGATCTTGGCGCCACCGCCCGACGAAAGTAAAATGTTGCGCGATTTGAGATCGCGGTGGATGATATCTTGGGCGTGGAGGTACACAAGGCCCGCGACGATCTGGCTCGCGATAGAAGGCTTGTCCTGGCCGTGCCACGGCAGCGACTGCGGCGTCGAGTGCAGTAGCCGGTCGCGGAGGTCCCCGAGGTCCATGTACTCGACGAGGAACCGGACGTCGCCTTCGGTCCGAGGCGGCGCAACGACACCGAGAAACTGAACGATCGATGCATGTTGCAATCTACAAGGGCAAAGTGAGGAAATCATCCAAAAATGACAAAAATCATCCAAAAATGACAAAAATCATCCGAAAATGACAGAAAATAAAATGACAATGACAGTTCCCGAGCACGTACCGTGAGAGAATGCCGATCTCGTGCATGATGGTAAACATCTCTTGCGATGTGTGGTGGCCCGGTAGCATGGTCTTGATCGCCACATGGCGGCCGTTGTAGACACCGAGAAAGACTTGGCCGTTGGCGCCTTGCGCAAGGAGCTGGACGACCTCAACGTCCTTTTCGCGGACTGTCGGCACGTCTTTGGTCCACGTGGCCGCCATGGACGCGGCCGGCGACAAGGCGTCATAGTACTCGTCGCCGTCGTCACCGGTCGTGACGCCTTGCCGGGACGCGCTCGGTTCGCCCGTGGCCGAGAGCGGGCGACAGGTCGTGGACCGGCGTTGGCGTCGGCGCCGCAAGACAAAGAGCAATAAAGCCACGCTGCAAAGCGCGCCAATGACGGCGACACCCACGTACGTGTACATGGTCGCGTCGTTCATGCTGCCACCGCCACTGCTGCTGCTGCTATTGCTGCTCGATTTCGTGGGCGCTGACGTGAGCACGGTCGTGCCTTCGTGCGGCCCTGGCGGCGACGTGGTCTTGACGCGGGCGCAGAGAATCGAGTTGCGTACGACGCGGTCAGTCTCGTTGGCTCGCGGGTGCACAATGCGGCTTGTAAAGTTGCTAAACTGGTCCAAGTTGCCGCCTGCCGACGCTGTCATGTTGGCGTCGTTGAGAAGCGCGGTCGTCCACGTGCACGAGTTGCAGCCCTCGGACTTGGGGTCGTTGGCGCTGCCTCCGCTCATCGCTTCGCAGATGGCCCAGTGCTTGTACAAAGTCGCAATCTTGGTCTGAACGGCGCTCGAGCTGCAAAAGTTGGTGTACAACGGGCGCTGCACGCGCGGGTCGTCGGGCAGACAGTGGCGACAGCGCGTTTCGAGCGCCGGGTACGCCTTGGCCTTGGCGAGGCAGTCGCTGTCGGTGCATAGCAGAGTAAAGTTGACCGGCGAGACGTACGTGAAGGCGTCCTGCTCATCGCACGGCAAGCCTGCCCACGCGTTCACGCGCTCGGCGCAGTCGTTGACCTCGGCCGTGCTGCAGGCGACGGGTGGCGGAATCATTTCTGTGTGTGCCACCTTGCCGGTCGTGTCGCGGCTTCGAACTTCGCGCCCCAGATGGCACTTATTATTTTATTGTCTTTTCCTTTTATCAATACAAATGACCAATCATAATATACGCGCGGAGGTAGGACACATACACATGTCGCAGGCGGAAGCGAACTTGGTCGTGTCATTGGCGGACTGAGCCCGATTGAGCAGGCAGCGCGAGGTCTGCGGCGCCCGCTGAATGGCAGCGCAGCTTCGGACTTATGGACAGGATGCGCGCCAGCCAGATACGCCTCCAGTCGCAGCCACACGGCGAGCTGCAGTGTGCGACGCGGCGGTGCCGAGGACTGATACAGGCGTGTCCACCGCGGGCAGGACTGAACCGACGCTGGATTCGACGGGTGTCGCTGTGTGCGAAAAGCTGCAGTCGTTGCAAGAAAGGGCAAGGCGGCCATGGCCAAATGCAGTCCGCACGGCGTGGCATAGAACAGGCTTGGGATATCCTGTCATACTGCATGGGATCACCTGCGTACTGCTGTCGACGTTGCGTGAGGACCGAGGCCACCCACACGCAGTGGTGACACACCCTTTAGCAGGTCGGTATCGGCTCGGCTTTGGCGCGATATGGTTGCGCACGTGGTCAAGTTGACCTTATCTCGTCACCCCCGTGGCGGACCGATGTTTCATTGGCCAAAATGAACCGACATGGACGAATCCCGTGCGATCCTTGCGAAACTTTGTCCGCCTCATGTGCCCCAGCCACGGCGAGCAACACTCGCCCACGGACAGAGAGAACATGGCGTGCCCTGCAAGCGCAGTGGTGCGGTATAGTCCTCCGGATGCGCGCTCGTTGCCAGCCAAATACTCTTTGTTTTCATAACCTGTTAGAATACATGTCTAACATTACCATACTTATAAGTTAGATCGATGATAAATTTGTCAAAACCGATAATTGGCGGAATTGAATACATGTACGCTACACGGTGCTGCCACGTCATCCGGATACCCGAAAGTTGAGTTTGAACTAAAGTCAACCAAGAACCAACAACCGACGACGCAACCGAGATGAGCACAACACGCTGGGAATCGATCGCGGACCTCCACGAAACAATCTTCAGCTTTGCGGGACCGCTCACGCAATTCCTGAACGGCGCCTTCTCCGACGAAGACGCGCTCGACGATGCCACGTCTGGCATTTGGGTCGATGCATTCCAGAGCGACTGGCCCGGCGACCTTGCGGTCCTCCCGATGGCGTCCAACTGGGCCTATCACTTTGGCTTTGTGCGCTCGCGAGGCATGTACGCGCGTGCCAAGGCCATTGCGCTCACCGGCTACTGCGGCGACGTCGGGTACTACAACCGGTACTTTACCGAGCGCACCGACATGGACGACGTTCCCGAAGACATTGTCGTGCCCGACTACATGGCCGCGCCCATGGCCAACGTATGGCTCGACGAGCTCTCTAGCTTGCTATTGCATCCAATCGCACTGGCCACCGCGGCTGCCGTGGGTGGCCATACGCGCCTGCTCCAGCACCTTCTCGACACCGGCAGCGTGGACGCGACGCAGATGCATTTTCTGCATGACGGCGGGCGCGTCCTGGACCACCTCGCGTACCTCGGGCACTTGGAGACACTCCGAGTCCTCCACGGCGCGGGCTGCCACGCGTGCTCGACGGACGCCATCGACCATGCAGCCGAGAACGGCCACGACGATGTGGTGCGGTGGCTGCAACAGCACCGGACCGAAGGCTGCACGTCGGCGGCGCTCGACGCCGCCCTTCTGAGCGACAACGTGTCCCTTGCTGCGTTTTTGCGTGCGTCGTACCCGGAGCTAACAGTCTCAGCCAGTGTGCTCGACACGGCCGCTGGACAGGGGCGTTTGGACCTTGTCACCTACCTCGACGCGGTCTGCAAGGCATCGTGCTCGACGGACGCCATGGACAAGGCAGCGACAAAGGGGCACTTGGCCGTCGTTGTTTACCTCGATACGCACCGCGACGAAGGCTGCACAGTTCAAGCAATGGACGGCGCCGCGTACTTTGGCCACCTCGAGGTGGTGCAGTATCTGCATGCGCATCGGCGCGAGGGCTGTTCGACGCTCGCGTTCGACACGGCGGCGCACGAGAACCATTTGGACGTGCTCCACTTCCTCGCAACGCACCGAGTTGAAGGCGGCACGACCAAGGCGCTGGACCGTGCGGCCCACCGCGGCCATGTCGAGGTCGTGCGGTATCTACATGCACGTGGGCGCGAAGGGTGCACGACGCGTGCGATCGACTGGGCCGCGGCGGCCGGTCACCTTGAGATCGTTGAGCTCTTGTGCAGCCAGCGTCCGGAAGGATTTACGTTTCGGGCCATGTACTGGGCCGCCCGCGAAGGCCATTTCGACGTGCTAGCGTACCTCTTGCCGCGCGGGCCAAGCCAAGCCGCCCAGGCCGTCGACCGCGCGCTCTTAGACCGAAACAAAACCGTCTTTTTGAATCTCCAAGCTGCTGCGTACCCGGGTACAACGACGAGTGCAATTGTGGACGTCGAGTGGGACCCCAACGTCGACGGGTGCTTCTCGTTTGCCTACCACGACGACGACGACGACGGTGATGACGACGACAAGTACTGCGACTGGGACTCGGACGACTCGACCGATGCGTGCATGTTTTACAGCTAGATTAATACGACATTTCTCAATGCATAGCCAGCGATCCGCGTCTAATTTGGTGAAGAAGAAGACGCCCGGTCCCTTATCACAAGAATGAAACATGTAGCCATAGAATGCGAGAGGACTATGCGCTCGCACTAGGCTAGCCCTACAGCATGCCAGGGATCCTTTGCGATCGAAAGCGTGCAGCAGAGCCAGGTCGCTTCTATCAAGGTATCAGTTTGCCGATGACGTGGCGGCACGAAGCATCGTTGTCGATGGGCACTCTGTTTGTACGGCTTCGTCTCGAACACAAACGCCTACCGAACGAACTTCTCTTATAAACGCAATCGAACGCACGTTGAGACCGGACCAGAGACCACAGCGCCTTGCGACGTCGGTGGAAAGAGTCGGGTGCCAGCGAATGGGACTGTCAAGAACCAACATGCGGGTTCCGATGCCAACGCCAAGGGCCACGAGAAGAAAGGGGCAGCTCCTACGGGCTCGAACCCCATACCTCCTGCGTGTGAAGCAGAAATCCACCGACTGAACAAACGTGGACGACCAAGTACCATCTGCATCTTGACCGGGACGACTCCTATTGCGCGCGCATGATTGTTCTATGTGGTGGTACACAGGGATGTGATTTATAACTTCTAGTCGATGGGATCTCGAGTGCTCGAACGCTCCATTCAGTGCTTCGCAGCTTCCGCAGAAGGGTTGACGTAACACAGGTGTCGACTTCTGGAACGTTGAAAATCACACACGTGTGAAACGTGGTTTTTGTGAAAATCAATCACTCTGTCGTAAGAAGGGCAAGACGCATTGCCAAATGTACTGACTGAATGCGCGCTTTCTAGTGGTCAACGACAAGGACCAAACTTGAGTCGACTTCGAGCTTGAACGACGATCAAGACGGCAGTCGGAAGCAAGGACTGCGGCGGGCCGACTTGAATAACCACGCCACCTGTTGTGTGAAATGGTGAAAAATAAAAGATACGCTCCGTGGCGCCGGCTCTGTCGGCAGCCAGGCCTTCATCCCCTTGCATGGCCCGAGCCAAGGGCACTTATCAAACAGCCTCCCATTGTGCACACGACCTTATGAAGCCGATCAACATTATGGCCTTTTGCCTCTGTGCGGTCGGAACTTCTGCTCTGCCGCTGTCCACCAGCGAGCGCCAGGCGCTGCAGACCGAGCTCGATGCGTGGAAGCGCAGCGCGGCTGGCAAAGCTGCCGCCGAGCACGGCTACGTACCAAAGACCGAGTCGGGGGAGCTCGGCGGCAAGAATCTCGAGCTCGAGCGCTTTGCGGCCACGAAGAAGGTGGTCGCGCAGCTCAACAAAGCCAACCCGCACGCAACGTTTACCGAGAAGAACCCGTTTGCGCTCCTGAGCGACGCCGAGTTTGCACGGTTCGCCACCGGTCTTGGCAACACAACGACACCGGCTCGAGCTCTCACAGTCGACGGACAGCTCACGCCACTCCAGCGCACCGCGGCCGGCGTCGACTGGTCTGCGGATGCCTGCATGTCGGGCGTGCGCGACCAAGGCGCCTGTGGCAGTTGCTGGGCGTTTGCGTCGGTGGGGGCAGCGGAGTTTGCGCAATGCAAGGCGACCGGGGCCCTCGCCGCGTTCTCGGAGCAGCAGCTCGTGAGCTGTGCCTCGAGCGCCGGCTACGGCTGCCAAGGCGGGTGGCCCAACAAGGCGCTCGACTACTTGACGACGGCAGGTGCGTGCGCGGGCACGTCGTACCCGTACGCTTCGGGCAACTCGCGTGCGAGTGGGCAGTGCGACAGCGGCTGCAGCAAGCAAAAGTTGCGCCTCGGTGCGTCCGTGAGTCTCTCGGGCGAGAGCGCGCTCCAGAGTGCGCTCGAGAAGCAAGTCGTCACCGTGACCGTCGAAGCCAACAACGACGTGTGGCGCAACTATCAGAGCGGCGTCGTGACGCAGTGCCCGGGCGCATCGTCCGACCACGCGGTCGTCGCCGTCGGGTACGGGTCCGAGAACGGTGTCGACTTTTTCAAGATCAAGAACTCGTGGGGCGGCGCCTGGGGGGACGCCGGCTACATGAAGCTCCAGCGCGACGTCGGCGGCAAGGGCATGTGCAATCTTGCAGCCAACGGCGCGTACGCGCCAATCAACGGCGGCGCGTCACCGCGCACAAAGCACAAGCCAACGCACAAGCCGCATGCACCGTCCAAGGCACCCTGCTCGCCGTCGCCGATGCCATCGACGTCGCCGGTACCATCGACGCCGTACCCGTCACCGGCCCCGTACACCCCGGCGCCGATCCCGACAGAGGCACCGAGTGATGACCCGAGCGAAGACCCGAGCGACCCGACAGAGGCACCGAGTGACGGCCCGACGGACGAGCCGCTGCCTGATTGGCCGACTGACTCGCCGTACCCGCAGCCGTCGTCCAACCCGACACCGGCCCCGACACCGGCACCAACGACGCTGTGCGAAAAGTGCAAGGGGTGCTGGGCCCCCGAGACCGCGGGTCGGCAAGGGATCTGCCTCAGCGCCGACTATGACAAAAAGTACTGTCTCTACTTGACCAAGAAGCTGCAGACAGTCTGGTGCGGCGACGACGACTTGTACAGCGGCAAAGCGCGGCACTAACTGCTTGGAATGGTGGAGCGTAAATGCAATGTTTTTGTTTTTGCAAGGTTGATGCGTGTGCGAAATGTGAGCATTTTTATCTTCTATTCATACACGGGAATGACCTCACTAGCGCTTTATCACGCACGGTGAAGCGGTTGCCCACACAGGGAAATCTACCAAAGTTCAGAGCAGATGACGGCGACTGTACTTCATACTGTAGGCGTCGGCAAGCAGAGGCGAATGAGCTTGACGACAATCTTGTGCTACTGAAATGATGCTTCGAAAGAGCGGGGCGTCGCTCTCGAACGCGGACGAGGTGCTTGCACGATACGGGGCGCGTCCGTTTTTAAATGTGGTACAATATGGTTGTTTGTGGTGTACGCCACAAACGAAACTTTGACCACGCATATGTCCTGCTGTACGCCGCCAACGAGCACGTCACGTAGCTTCTCATGCTCCCCAACGTGAGTTCTATCTCTGGGCAAAGCGTCGTCGCTTTCATTTTTCACTCGATTTGGACGCTCGCGTTGCCTCGGCGCGCCGTCGTGTGCAGCCACCTTTGCTTGGATTGGTCCAAAATACAGATAAAAGGACCAATGCCATTTATTTACGTTTTGTATTTTATTGTCCTAATTGTATTATGCAGCTTGTGCTATAAAAAAGCAACCGTGGTATCCAAATGTTGATGTGGCATTCTCACTCTATCAAAACGCAACTTTGCGCCACTCCGATCGAGTTGACCCGCGTCGCGAGGCCCGGAAATGGCGTGCATATAGTCTAGCCTGGCATGACACTCGTACTGTACTAGCAGGTCAGAGATAGATGGGCAGGCAGCGCGCCACGCGGTTGGTCGACACTGCACATCGTCGGCGTGCGTCGCTGCACCTGCGCTTACAACCAAAGTGAGAAGCCCATGCGCGTACTGGTCGACACTGGCAGCGCACCGTGGCTACTCGCCGCCGCCGCCGCCGCGACG